ATTGATCTGGCGATCAGATACATTTATCAAGGTAACCCTGGTCTTAAGATAAACGCCGCTGACCTAAAAACGCTTTTTACCTTCGCAACAGCTGAGACTGGTTTCTTGTTTAAGGGTGTGTTTTATGATCAAATAGATGGGGTTGCCATGGGGTCCCCACTTGCTCCAGTACTTGCAAACCTCTTTATGGGACATCATGAAAAAAACTGGCTAGATAACTATTCATTCTCTGAAGTTCTGTTCTACAGACGCTATGTTGATGACACCTTTTGTTTGTTCAATAGCGAGGAGGACGCGCTCGTGTTCTTTGATTATATCAACGCCAGGCACCTTAGTATTCGTTTCACAATGGAAAGGGAAATTGGTAAGAAATTATCGTTTCTAGACATATTGTTAGACAACAGTCATACATCCATCGTCACTAGTGTAATCGCAAGAAGACGTTTACTGGTCTTCTTACTAATTATTTCAGGTTCGCCCCTTTGATTTACAAATTAGGTTTAGTCAGAACATTGATTGACAGAGTATATAAGATCAATAATTCCTGGGTTGGTTTTCATTTGGATGTCAAGAAACTTATTTTCTTGCTACGGAAAAATTTTTTTCCATCTTGGGACCTAGACTAGATCATTTACAGGTATCTAGCTAAGAAAAATAATCCTTCTCCTACTGGGCAGAACGCCTCTTCTAACTCCGGTAAACCTTCTTCGCACCATTATAAACTTCCCTATGTTGGTCGGTTTTCAAACATCGCTTAGACTAAGTTAAGACAACTACTCAAACGTTATTGTAGAGCTGATTTAGATGTTAAGTTAGTCTTCAGTGCGTTTAAACTCAGAAACAGGTTTAATGTGAAAGTTTCAGTACCGCTAGGTCTACGTTCACGTGTCGTTTATAAATTTTCGTGTGCTGGCCGTAATGTCAGTGATATTGGTGAGACCACTCTCGCCACATTTGTACACGACTTCGTGAGCACCTCTTGTCGGATAAAACTTCGCATATTTACAAACACCTGCAATCATCAAGGGCTTGTCTTGACTCTTGTGATACTGAATGTTTCATGATCTTAGATTCTGCCGCTTCAAAATACCAAATTAAGATCAAAGAGGCATTCCATATTAAGAGGGAAAAACCCATTTTTAATCAGCAATTAAAGCATCTAGAATTGTCTCTTTCCTTTTAATTATGTTGTTACTTGGTCTTTTCTTATTATTATTATTATTATTATCTTTTTTTTTTGATCTAGTCAAGCGCGCGCTATTTACATTTTTCGCGTATTTAATATTCAAATTGTAACATAAGCCCTGACACGTAATTTGTTACGTACCTTAATATAGATTCAAATGTACAACCGTTAAAAGCTCATTTTCAACTGAAGATGACATGAGAATGTCGAAACATGTCTTGTAAATTTAAACTCAAAGTTTTCGTTTCTTTTTTGAGAACTTCACACTTATAACTGTAATTTACACTCGTAACCGTAAATTTACAGTTATAACTATAAATTTACTCTTGTAACTGTAGATTTACACTTTTAACTGTAAATTTACAGTAATAACTATAAATTTAGAGTGGTGATTGTAAATTGACACTTATAACCGTAAAGCAAGCATCAATCGAAAGGCAGTCACGTGCTTTCGTTCACGTGTAGTGGAGTGTAGTCGACAAGGTGGGTCCAAGGGGAATGGAAGAGGTAAGTTGCAGTAAATTTTACATGTAGTGCACGATATCAAAAGGCAGAGAGAAAGCGAAGTCTAGGAAAACAAAGACAGCCAATAGTAATAGCCATTCCGGGAATAATATCTCCGGAGCACAGAATACAATAAAGAAAGAGAGTGTAAAGAAAAGAAAGATCACTCTTTGTTGGATGCACTGTTTTACAAAAGAGAAAAGGTTTCTGACGGTACTACTAACCAGTGCCGGAGGTGGAACCCGTACGATTGATGTACCAGGTCATTCTACCAAACCT